AGCAAATATGCTCTTATCAAAAGATTTTATTACATTTCCCTTGAAATTTATGAATGCAACTAACTTAATGAGGTGGAATTGAATTTTTCAGAACCGATATATTCTGTTCCGCGCGATCGTTCGAAGTCAGCGGACAATGTGGCCTGCAAAAGATCATTGAACAATATTATTCGAAGTGATCATTTGAAGTCAGCAGACAATGCGCTCTGTAAAAGACCTTCCAACAATGATGTAGATGATTCAAAGAGAATTGAAGCTTTCAGATATCTTTCAAAAAAGAGTTTGACAAGGGACAGGGGAAGCCAACTTCTTGCTGCCATGGTCGGGCCTCAAAGTGAAGGTTCTTCGAACAAGAGAAGGAAGAGAGTGGGATCATCACCATGCAAAAAGGTCAGCCCTCCTGGTGGTAGTCATAAATCTATCCGTCCTGTGGCAGCTGCATTACGGTGAGCTGTTCCAGGCTTCTGCTTGCTAAAGCTTTCTCTAGCTCAGCCGCAAATGTAAAAGATGAGTTTGTTCAAATATTTCATTTGAACAGAAAAATAGAAGAGTTTGTTCATATATTTTATCTGGCTTTTTCATAATTTTTTTGCCAAAGTTTTGTCTGGTTTCTTGTGGAATGAATTACTGTTTCATTTGCGACAACCTCTTTTGGAGTATATATGGTTTTGCTTGCACGAGTGACCTTGCAATATTTTCTGTTATCGGTTCCATACTGGGAAGAATTGCAGGAAATCGTTCGATAACACTTACTATTTCTCAATGATATCCGATGATTAAGACAATTCCCGCGAAACTCTTTCATTTCATAGAAGTTTATTCTTATTCTTACAAAACAAATAGCATTTCCTATTGATTTGCCCCTGGACTGGACCTATTTTGATTTCGAATTTTCCGTTGCTACGTTGTACCCAAGGACTAGCAAAATCAAAATAGCGAAATTCTTGGGTCACATGAACAGAAAGCCAGCAATCCAAATTTCTTTTGTTTTATTCAGTGAAAGGATTTCCTTAAAAGGGGCCAAAAGCCATCTATCAAATAAACAATTATATTGACCTCTAATTTCATCAATTTACCAACCAATCACAAGTTTCATATAGGGTTTCAAACAAACAAGAAATTAATCAATCAAACTATTGCGGGACCTAGTCCACACTCTTGCTACTTATCCACCTGCAGACTTGATCCCCTCTTCTCAATCGCGGCACGAAGCTAACTAAGCCATGTTTATCAATAGCCTTGAGGCAGAAGTTCACCAACCACTTGTTTCCAAGTCACAACGTGAATATGATTGGAGGTTTGGAGAATTGAATATATTCAGACGGATCCCCAGTGTATGGAAGAGATATAGATTCAAACGCATAGAAATCTCACAAGAACTCTCAAAGAATAAGAGGGATGACATAAGAAAAAAAACCCCTAGCTCCAAGATATGATATTTCTTTTCATGCATGCATACAAGAGGCTAGATTATTCCAATTGCTCAAGCGAGAAAGACTATATCCTCCAGCGCCAAGAGACAGAACACGCTTAAACCTAAAGTCATATATGAATAAGTAACATGTTATATGGAACTAACCACTTACCTTTCCTAAAGGCAATTGTGACTCGGATAGCCATTGAAACTTTAACATCGTTATAAGATAAGGATACTGCTTGCCTCCTTCCCTAGAGTTCTCCTTCTTGCAAATCACGGTTTGACACATGTGCAAAAATAATTCATCAAGAACACAAAAATAAAGATTTCTATACACATGTCATACTGCTATTAGCAAGAATGTAGGAGTTCCTACTTATAAAGGAAAGAAGGAAGTATTTTCCATAAGGTAACTCGTTCATTCTCAAACGGCACGCGAACTCAACACTCAACACTCACCATTATCGGACTCAAAACCACTTTAATGCTTACACACAAAGGTTTTGGTCTTAGAGAATGTCAACGTAGTTTTTGCAATTGCAGTATTATACTAGCACTCTTATTATTGTTGTTTAAAGAAGGTCAAAAACAACTCTCGATATGCGCTCAAATTTTCTAATAAAAGAAGCAAAAAACTCTCGATATGAATCTGCTTGTGTTACATACCCATGTTCGTGCCAATCATACACCAGTTCTAGCTTCTTAGCATCCATTATATTGGTTTCTTGTTTCACCCATAAAGCCTTAATGCTAACCGTTTAAACTAAGGAGCTGTTATTAACACACCAAAAAAGTTATCATCTGCACTCATTAATTCAGGTGCAATTTCTAAAACAAAATATAATGCTTTAGCATTATTACTAATACAAAATGCTTAGGTTGAGCATGCAAAGGGAAAAAAGAAAAAAAAAAAACTAGATAAATGGGCTTGACGTTACTTCTTTTGGAGTTATGTTGCAATATTTGGATAAAAAGGAAAACTATTGGTGCTTTGCCAACCAATGAAAGTTGTCATCTGTTTTCAACATAAAATCCACAAAGGAGAAGGTGCATGCGTATGCTCGAAACATGAAAAGGAACAGGACAAAGACTTTGACATGATCACTAGAATAATTGTTGGTGAGCCTACAATTTCCTAGTAATAATTGTCCCCGGCTCATAAATTAGTCAATTAGGTTAGAGGTTGGAGATAAGATTTAGGAATGAGCATCTTATATTAATCTAGGGAAAACCAAAATTTGTGAAATTCTATACTCCTTGGCATGACTGTAGATTGCCAACGTATCTTTGTTTGTGTCAAAGTACTATAACTATGTACTCCTTGGTTTCATCGAGCCCTGAGTTTAGTTTTGCCCTCATGACAAAGTTGGCAGCTTATTTAAGGAATGTTGAGCCCTTGTAACAATTCCGATTTCGGTTCTTGATCAATTTTTTTCTTCTTCTCTCTATGTTGAAGATTGGCACAAGAACTATGCCGGCTTAGTAAAGTTTTAAAAAAATTGTTCACTTTCATATAATATGGTTGTTTTCTTCAAAAGAGGAGGGGAGAAGCAGAAAATAATGCGACAATCGGTTCTCAGCTGGAACAACAGAGCACTGGCAACCTATCGTGGGTCACCAGAGTCGATGAACATTACGAAACATGTGCTCATCGTCATGGATGGGATGAAAGAGTTCACGACGGAGCCGCTTGAATGGGCCCTTGAGAATGTAATCAACGCTGGCTCTACTATCACTCTTCTTGGTGTCATGCCGTGGCTTAACATTCCCCGTGAGTACTGTGATTCTAGTCTCCTCAATCCCTTAATCTTTAGTATATGCATATGAGTGATCTAAATGCATGGCAATCTTGAGCTTTTAATTCTAGTTGAGTATGTAATAAAACAAGCCAACACCGCAAAAATCGCATAACGCTATATTGTGGAAGGAAATCGAACCATTGACCTAGCCTAATCCTAACTCATTTCCCTACTCAGCCTCTCTAGTACTTCGGCTAACCCAAGAGCTTAAGTATTGGATTTTTAATTAGACCACGTAGTGTAGGTGTTGATGTGTTAATTTACAATTGATTATTCAATATTTCATGGAATTACACACATATAGTCATAAAAAGAAGTTCTTTAGAATTTTCCTTGATTTTATTTACATGTCACGCTTCTATAGCTGGCTATTTACTTTAATCCAAACAAGGTTTTGCTTCGTATATAAAATGGAATACCTGGGTGCTGAATGTAAATGTGCAGTCTCTTCCAAGACGTGGCTGGATGTTTGGCCGGTGGGACTAGAAGAATTGTCATTTGTCAAAGAGAAAAATGAGTGGAAAAGCGATCTCAAATATCTAAAGCTTCAGAAAGTGGTGGACCTTTGCAACAAATATGGGGTATATTTAACGATGGAGCTCTATATATATATATAAAAAAATTCATAACACAACCATGTATACATGCATACATACATACATACATATATATATATATATATATATATATATATATATATTTATGCTCGTCTAACGTTCTGCATGTGTATGGAATGTTAATTGCAGGTTTTTCCACAGAAGAAAGTTATAATGGGTTATCCCTCACGGCTGCTGGTTCTTGAGCAAATTACAACCCTTCATGCAACATGGGTGGTCTTCGATAGGTATACCATGCATTACAGTGAAAGATTTCGACTTTATTCAGTTATTTTGTTCTTTATATTTTGAGAAGTGTGTCCAATAAGGACGGAGCCTAACTTCTGTTAAGATTTTCGTAAAAGGTGATGGATTAGGGTTAGCAGAAGTTAGGCTTTCTTTTGAACACACTTTTACCGGAAAGACTACTTTGTTAATTAGACTAATTTACGTCAATAATGAACCAATTGTAACAAAAAAAATCTTAATAGAAGTTACGTTATGTCCTTACTAGGCATAAATATCAAAGTACGAAAATCAAAACGACTGATAAGAGAGTTAATCAAAAGTATATACTATTTGTCAAATTTATATCTAATACTTTAATGAGATCTCTCTACAGGCATCAAAAGAATGATAGAAAATTTTATGCCGGGAAGCTTCCATGTAACATGGTGATGATGAAAGAAGATGGGGAAGTTGATATGATAAAGGGACGGCCCATGATAGATAGTGACAGCGCCGTTGGAGAGTCACCGCCCTCTTTGCTACCAACTCCGATGATCTGTGACCCCTTGAAGGGAATTCTTAAGAAAAGAGCACAAGATCTTCATCAAGACCCCGAGGATCAAGTTCGGAAGGACGTGCCATGATCAACAAGGGAAGGAATGCAGAAACAAAGAGAGGATCTTGGCAGAACAGGAGAGGCTGAGGAGCTTAAATAGAGATGCAATAACTCCTTGGGGGAGTAACTTGGCCATGGGTTTTATTTGTTTTCACTTGAGTCAAGCTATTAAATTAATCACCTTTTGTTTGGCAAATGCGTATTCTCCCAAGATTTTCTGATGTAATAAGAATTTGCTCGCCATGCTTCTTATAATATTTCATACATGATCTTCTGGACTTGGTATCAGTTTCTATTAAATGGAACAAACAACATATAAAAAAAAGGGTGATGAGCATATAAAATTTGAGCAATGCTGAGGTCTTTTAAGCAATTTTCATATCCATATTAATATGGAAGATCAATATTATTGCATGTCCATTTATGAACTGATGCAATTATAGCATTCGATCTGTTTCAATTGATACAGACTCGGATAGCATGCCTTTGGCTTTTTTTACATTCGTTGTATTTATAATATAACCCATCTTCATACCGCAGTCAAATTTATTTTTCATAATATTTTTGGTAAAAAGAAGTGTCCCATAGACTGAAACAGTGGGAAAGGTGTTTTCAAGGCGCATAGCCACCGTGACCACCACCTTCACCACCCCCAGAACCGCCTCCATAGCCGGCCCCACCACCATGTGCACCCCCACCACCTGATCCGCCTCCACCACCAGAGCCTCCCCCGCCCTCCACCGCTGCCATATCCGCCTCCATGTGCTCCCCCAGCACCTTCTCCACCACCTCCGCCGCCACCACTCCCACCACCTCCTCCTCCTCCGTGGCCACCACCTGCTGCTCCTCCCCCAGCACCATACCCACTGCCAGAACCCCCTCCTTCACCACCACCTGCTCCAGAACCTATACCGCCACCACCTCCGCCGCCACTACCTCCACCGCCACCAGCACCATATCCACCCCCATGTTCTCCACCAGCACCATACCCTGCACCTCCTCCTTCACCCGCCCCACTTCCATACCCAGCACCCCCAGCAGCAGCACCACCGCCACCACCGCTACCTCCGCCGCCGCCGCCGCCAAGTCCTCCACCAGCAGTTCCATATCCGGCACCACCGCCTTCTCCACTACCACCACCATACCCCCCTATAGCAACATTAATCCTGCCTCCTAATAATTCTTCACTAGTGAAGAGGGCTCTAGTGGCAGAACAAATGCCTAAACTTAATATCACAAAGAAAATAACGCTACCAATCTTTTGGGGAGCCATGGGAGTAGTTCTAGCTACTTGAGTCCCGCAAGCTTATGTGTAGAATGCAACAGAAAGTAGGTATATATAGAAAAAAATTGTGATGGGGTCCCAAAACATCGTCCACTAAGAGAGAACGTGGATATTGAAAGGACATGCAAACTAAGGATAATTGTGGGCACCGACACATTCTCCAAAAGCACCCACTCCGTCTACTAATATCACTCTTATACTAGTGTGTTCATGCTGTCTTCCACATATGATAATAATTTACTTCTGGAAAGCGGCCTGCTGCAAACTCGATCTCTTTCACATTAGACAAAAGAACGTGAAATGTTAATTTTATTTTCCTGTGTAATTACTAGTGTTTTGAGTATAATATTCTTCAATCATTTGCTATATAATATTTCCTTATTTTCCATATGATGCCTGCATTGTCGTCAGCTTCTCTATTAGTGCAGTTGGTTTGGTAAGATCCATTATCATTTGTATAGTTTTTAGTTTTGTTTATGATAATTGGTCACAAAAAGGTTCGTTAATGATAAAAACATGCAGGTACATATTTATCATTATTTATTTACTTCTCAGACTATTGGATTATAGTTAGCGATGAGTCCAGACAAATCCTCATCCAGACTCATCTTCATCCATCTTTATTTTTCTAGGTGGGAAATGATAATGTAGGATATTTTCACCTTCATATTCTCACACGCCTCCGCATGTGTGGCGACATTTAAAGCCTAAAATGTGGACAACACATATTGGGAGATGTGGAGTGTTGGATTTGATGCAGAGATTAGAGAAGAGGATAACAAGGAACTGTAACTCCTAACTAAGCTTTCAAACCCTAACACTAACCTTGATTCGACATGGTGACAATAGAGGATCTTCTAGTAATGCAATAAACCATATATACTTGATTTTCTTCCACAACATCTTTGATGTAGTGAAATTTTAGGGCAATGTGTTTTGCTCTGTTGTGATAAACAGGATTCTTGCTCATAGCAATAACATATATGTTTTCACAAGGAATCAGAGTTGCCAATTCTTGTTTCTCACCGAAATCCTCCATAATTCTTCTCATCCATACTGCTTGAGAGTTGCAATTGAAGCCGATATCAAACTTAGCTTTTGCAGTTGATAGTGCATCTGATTTATGCTTGTTAGAGGTCCATGAAAATACACCAGTTCCTAGTGTAAATGTACAACCAGATATGCTCTTCAAGTCATCCACACTTCTTCCTCAATAAACTATCACAGAACCCAATCAATTTTAGCTCAACATTCCTTTCGTACATTATACCAAAGTCAATTGTACCTTGAATGTATCTTCGGATGCTTTTTGCAGCTCCATAGTGAATACTAGTTGGCTTGTGCATAAATCTGAACAACAAGCTTGTAGCATACATTATATCTGGCCTAGTTGCTGTCAAATATAGGGATGGCAATGGGCTGGTTCGGGTTTGGGTATGGCAATACAAAAGTCTATTAATATTTTTTTGGGCCAACTATCTTATTTTTTGTGTGTAAAATCAGGACTTTGATATGGTTTTATTCTGCTCATCGTATTAGAGGTTACGTTTCTTTTTGCTTTTTTTTTTTTTTTTTTTTTTTTTTTTTTTTTTTTTTTTTTTTTTTTTTTTTTTTTTTTTTTTTTTTTTTTTTTTTTTTTTTTTTTTTTTTTTTTTTTTTTTTTTTTTTTTTTTTTTTTTTTTTTTTTTTTTTTTTTTTTTTTTTTTTTTTTTTTTTTTTTTTTTTTTTTTTTTTTTTTTTTTTTTTTTTTTTTTTTTTTTTTTTTTTTTTTTTTTTTTTTTTTTTTTTTTTTTTTTTTTTTTTTTTTTTTTTTTTTTTTTTTTTTTTTTTTTTTTTTTTTTTTTTTTTTTTTTTTTTTTTTTTTTTTTTTTTTTTTTTTTTTTTTTTTTTTTTTTTTTTTTTTTTTTTTTTTTTTTTTTTTTTTTTTTTTTTTTTTTTTTTTTTTTTTTTTTTTTTTTTTTTTTTTTTTTTTTTTTTTTTTTTTTTTTTTTTTTTTTTTTTTTTTTTTTTTTTTTTTTTTTTTTTTTTTTTTTTTTTTTTTTTTTTTTTTTTTTTTTTTTTTTTTTTTTTTTTTCCAGGCTTCTTCTCATTCTTCTTTGGCACCTACGTACGGTAGAGATCGGAGGATTTGGTGGTGGATTTGAATTTAACCCAAACCTAACTAAGCCCCAAAATAAGAATGTCAAATGACTTCTAAAACTAGGTATTTGAGAATATTAATAATTTCTCTCCTAACTTTCTCTTCTCCTCTCATTTCTGTTTTTGGTTACTGAGAAAGGGAATGAAAGTTAAGGAATTGTCGAGCCAGCTAATTAAGTTGTTATTACTTTTCTTATTTCATGTACCAATTGAAACATATTACATAACTTTAATGTGATAATGTTTAGGTTTTGCTAATTGAATATAATTAACTTTTTTTATATAAAACTTTTCAATTGAAATTCTTCCAAGTGTCTCCTTCAGCGGAAGTCCATGGCTATTACTTATGAACTTCAATGGTCTCATTATGATATCTTGGTATAATCCATTAACTTTACTGTGACATTAAATCAACACTTGATATTTCTGGCAACCGTTTTTTAATTTTTTCGAATGTCAAATTTAGTTTTTCTGTTTCTTTTCTTAACCAAACAAAAAACACCTAAGAGGGGAAACAAGAAACAAGTCACAAGGACAAAACAAAGCAAAACCAAGGAGGCATGTGCAGGCCGAACAACAAAGTAACATCAATCTACATCCGGGAGTCCCACTCCACAAATGGTTCGAAGGAGAGAAGGGCTTGGGATAACCAAAGTGAGAGAAGCATCATTGGAGAGGCTTTGTTGTCAAACCCTAAAAACACTATTGATTGTGGGTGACAGTAGAGAGATAATTGCCTATATGGGCAGAAGACCACTCAGGTTAGGCTCATTCAATTCAAAGTCTGATCACCTCTCTCAACCCACACAATTTTACTCTTTTTTTTTTTTTTTTTTCATTGTTTTATTCAGGGACGGAGGCATGTATTGGGCTCCCATATGGAAATAGTTTTGACTTTTAAATATCATGTAGTCTTGACAAATAAGCTTATTTGAGGGACATTCTTTGTAGGGCCCACTTTGGATTGTATTTCAACAAATCCAAACTGTCTATTTTATAGATAATCATTCAAAGATCATCTCTACAAAAAATCACTTGAATCCGATCGATATTGTTTGACCACTTAATTGTGTTATTGAAATTTTAGTACTTTCTTGAAGCACCGTGTTCATTGATTTTGTAGGATACAATTGGATGTCTAAACGGTTTCTGATTTGTCTAATTTTTTGCAAGGATTATCTATGAATGTAGACTTAAAAAATAGATGGTTTGGATCGTAGGAAAAATATTTATAGGGGACCCTAAAGGGTGTCCCTCAAATAAATTTATTTGAGGGATCCCTCAATAGAAGAGGACTATATATATATAAATCATGTAATCAAATAGCCACTTGAAATAATAATTAGTGATTTTAATTATTTGAAGTCTCGAAGAGTAAAACTTAAATAGCTTTATTTTGTATTTGTATTGCATGTTTATTTATTTTTGTATTTATTTTTTACTAGTTTCTATCTTGTATATTACATGCATTTTGAGAGGTACGAATCATTACATCCCCCTGACTAGGTGTATCATTTTTTTTGTCATTAAAATTTACTCGTATCATCGAGTTTCTTTGTAAAGTAAATCCAGTCCAGTCCATTTTGAAATCCTCATTCCATTCTTAGTTTTATTTAATAATTGTTTTTCGTGATATTTAAATTAAGGACCTCAAGTACAAGTCTTTCTACAAAGGGGTCATGGGATTTTACATTTTTATTTACTATATCATTGTCCACAATACACAATCCACAAGAAACTAGATATGACCACAAGAAAACAACGGTAAATATTGGCTGTTAAGCTTTTTTTTCATTTCATTGTTTTACCGCTTCAACTAGTCTCTCTTTGGTTGCATTTCTAGAATTCAGCCAAACAATCATAGCCATTTTAAAAACAACAATCATTGTCATCCAAATGCACCCGATGCGGAATTTATAACGATAACAATTAGTATTGGTAACATTCATAAATATTATTATGAAGAAGAAGAATTCATATTAATTAATTGTCAATATATACAACCTTCGGGAGCATAAATCGGGATTCATAATATACTCAAAATTATATTAATCCTCTTGTACCTACATTTATCTTAGTTTTTTTTTGTCAAAGTCATTTTTGGTCCCCTGTAGTTTGACATTTCAATCACTTTTGACCTTGTAGTTTCAATTTTGTCAATTTTGCCCTTGTAATTTCATTTCTGTAGCAATTTAAGGACAATCATAATTTCTGTCAAATTATTCTTAACTTATGTTATCTATTCAGGGGTATTTTGGTCCAAAACATAATTGGGCTAAAATCATAGGGGCAACCGGTCTCCACAGCCCCCCACCCAAAGTCCCACTTCCAATCTCTCCTCATTTTGCCTTATCTCTCCCAACTTGATCTCGTACGTATTGCTTGGAGACGTGAGTCAGTCTTGGGGCAACTATTGGAACATAGCTCTCGGCTTGCTAGCTTATGTCTTGTGCATTTGTTGGGGTTAGGGCAACCTTGGGAGGTTGTGTTGGTGTTCAATTACACGGTATGGTGGCTAGCTGGGGTTGGGTGGGGACTGCTCATGACTGTTGGCAGGTTGGGGGATGGGATGCAAGTTTGGACCAAAATATGACAGGACCCAACCCAAATTCCACTTTGGAATCCGTGTCGAATCCCATGTGAGTCTAACACCTGGAAGGTGTCGAGACGAATGACTAAACTACCCTTTTTGCCCTAATTCAAAAACTAATTTAGGGTTTGACTTCTACCGAAAAACTGGCCAAGTCTTCCTTGAAAAACGAACATTTACCAAATTATTTGCACCTGTAGAAAATACAATTCTATAATCCCAATCGTTCAGCATAGAAGAATTTCGTCCATACACAATTCAACAGTGACTCAAATGGAACTCAGGCCCGTACAACATAATCAAAACACTGACATTCACCTTGTTATAAACGAGAATTAACGGTAGATTCAAAATTTGCTCAATTACAATGGATTTCAACTAAACCAATTCAAAGCATAATTCAACAGTTATTTTGCGGTTGCACCTAGGTTAACCTAGGTTGCCTATGTACCCTTAACGAGGGATCAAGCCACACGTAGTTTTTTCATACTTCCCTAACCAAAAGTTTAAACTCTAGTTAATCCTTTGAAATCATACAAAAGATTTTTGATTTAAGAACAATCTTCCACCCAATCACATATGTGCATATACAACACAAATATATAATAGCTTGTTACAGATATGTATGAAAATGAGAAAGTTACTAAAATAACTTTTGGTCATTTGAAACCTTAATATCGCTGCCAACAGTTTGAATAAACATGCTTCGATCTTCTATATATAATAACAAACTCATCACTTAAGAGAATAGTTATGAATTGTATAAAATCCTTAAAACTTGGAAACCTTCAATCATTGTCTCATAAAATCAGAAAATAGGTATTAAAACTTTTACCCAAAAATACCAAGATAAAATTATCAATTTTAGTTTAAACTTCTTAAAACCCAAATACTCTCCACCTAGGCGTACCCCCATTCATATTCCGTCAATTCCGATAATATTCTGTCAATTCCAGGTACCATGTATGTTACAACCTTGCAGAACTCGAGGGACATATGGTCAGCCTGAGAGCGCACATCCTCGCAGAACTCAGGGGACGTGTAGTGTGCCCGAGAACGCACATCCTCGCTGAACTCGGGGGACATGTAGTCAACCCGAGAACGCATATCCTCGCACCACACGGTTCAAGCGTCTTCGAGACTTGTGAGGCATTATCATAAATGACTAAACTGTTCCAAAGGCAACTAGGGGGTTTGAAAACCATATTCCGAAATTTATCATAAAATTTCCCTTATTCCATAAATCTATTTTCCAAATCTTTTCTCAACTTTCCAAAAATCAGTTTTTAAACGGGTAGCCAAGATCCCTTCTCAAGCATAAAGTTCGTAAAGACCCAAAAATATTCACAAACCTCAATATAAAATTAAAGTCCGTTAATCCCATAACATAATCTTATAATCCTGTCAAGACCCCAAAATAATTCAAATAATAATCAAAACTTGTTTACATATAATTTCCATAAAATATTATATTCTACAATTAAAACAATAAACTTTCATAAACAACCCAATATCACCTAGTCATATACTTTAATAATTATAATAATAATAAATAATGTAAAATATTAACCCTTAGAGATCCCATATCCTTATTGACCCAAATTAAATTAATTTTCAATCAAAACCCATTTATGCAAGAAATTCCATATTTGAAGAACGAAGTACACTTAAAAACAAATATCCACTAATTTCCCAATAATCAAAGCCGAGTCCCAAGACTTACTTCCACAACCCATCAATCAAGTATCCCATACTCATATATCCCATTACTTCTAATATTGCATAAACTTCAAATATCAAAATAATATCCAAGAATACCATAAAATACTATAAAATAATCTCATAATCCCAACATAATCAAACTAACTCACATAACAGTCAACCCTCATTTATAAGATCGTTCTAGTACTTCTCAAAGGATGAAACTGCCTAGGAAGACTCTCAGTCAACTGAGGAGTCAAACTTCCCATATTGGTCAACTGGGCCCGTGGGGCCCACAAATCCGATTCCCGATCCGAAAGTTCCTACGGGTTCAATAAGGTTTAATATACATGTCCTGCAAGTTTGGTCTGAATCGAATGATAAGATCGCTCGCGATCGCAAGATCGGATGGTCATCGTTTAACCTAATCTTTGAATCATTGAATCGAAGTATTTGGGACTCCGATTCACGATCCGCGAATTCCTACACGATCCTAGTGATTCCTAGATCAACATATATGAAAATGGAATTAATCCAACGGTCCGAACATATCGAACCCGGATAACGTCTAATATGCAATATCCGATCGATAGTCAAACGATAACCAAATTCAAATCCGAGCATATCGTTGTGCTCGGGATGACATGAGGATCATTTTAGGACCCAATGGCCTGCCACAAAGTGGCCCACACACTGCCACACGCGCCGGCAATGCGTGGGTGCCCAGAGTAATTTCAACGATAAGAAAATCTCCAAATTGCCGGTCAAGACCTATACCTACATGATCAGAACAATGAGTGGAGCAACTTTTGTTCTTGGACCATGGCCAAAAAGTGGCCGAAACTTGCACGAAAATCAAGCTGAAAACCGGCTGAAACTTTTAACCATAAAACGAGTTCCAAAACGCAAAAATCAATCATAATCAACCCAACCATCAGATAGAACACGTTGAGAGGATGAGAAAGCATACCTAGAAACGACGACGTAATGTTTTGACAAAATTAGAACTTTGTCGAGCTATCGCTGGCGAAGGAGCGGCTAAGCTCGTTGGAGACGGGATGGGTCGGAAAGAGTAAGTCGAGACAGTTCTAACGCAAGTGGTCTCGTGGCCGGAGGTGGCCGGACATAGGAGATATCGCCGACCAAAAATCAGACTGTGTTGGTCGCGAGGAGAAAGGCTACGGGAAGGGGGGAGAGAGAGAGAGAGAGAGAGAGAGAGAGAGAGAGAGAGAGAGAGAGAGAAGAAATTCTGGGTGTTTTGACTTCGCAATATTTACTGTTGTGCCACTGCACTTCCGTTGATCATAACTTCTTCGTTATAACTCGATTTGAGCCCACTACGTGTCTACGGACTCATCTTGACGCGATCTACGCAACGGTACTACTCAAATCCCAAAATTCTTTCCCAAACAAAAAGTCAACTTTAAACCCATTAAAATATTTCCGGGGTAAAATTGTCTTTTACTTGAATATTTTAATAATTAAATATTAATTTAGGATTGGGTTATCACAAAATACCCCTAAATAGATAATGTAGGGGTCTTTTTCGTTCCAGCAGCTTGATGAATGGGCCTGGGCTACTGTAAAGAGCAAATGGCTGGAATCGCCCCTTGTGTCTGAGTTCGAGAATCAAACCCCAAGTGTGCTTCGAAAGGGTAGCTGAGCCTTAGGAAACATCTTGGTCTTCTTCACCAACGAGACTAATAGTTGCTTGCATGTAAATATTGTGGCTTGGCATGAGAGGCTTGTGGCATGGGAGTTGAGCATTCGTGAGTTTAGCATGAGAGAGAGAAAGAGCTATGATTTCCTATGAGAAACAGAGTTTTTAAGGCAAGGGAAGAGAGGATTTGACGAGGGTTTGGCTGAAAAGAGGGAGAAGGAGACAAGGTGAGGGCAATGGGTCGCTTAAGTGATTTTCCGGCAGCTTGACGAAAGCTCTGTCAAGCACTGGAACAGTTCTGCCAGGAGGGAAAATGGGGAAGAAGGATGAATGGTGCACGAAATTGCTAGGTTTTGAAGATGAGAGGGAAGCTTGCTCTCTGGATGTGTGTTATGAGAGAGAGAGAGAGAGAGAGAGGAAGAAGATGGAAGAACAAAGCATGAAATTGAAGGATTCCAAAGGGGATGCTTGCCTTCGATCGATTCTCATGGTTGCTGGGAGGCTTGCAGCAACCAAGCTGAGTTGTTTTGCTGGGTAGAAAGTGCCTCCTTTTATA